TAATAATAAATGAAATAAATAATAAAATTGAAACATAGTTTCTGATAAAGAATAGAAGCTATTTATTTTGGAGAAAATATGATATGTAATCATGATGTGTTTTTAATTGACTTAATTTAACTAGTGTGTAAATAATAGATGATCACATGGTTGATGTTACCCTATTTGAATGAATATTTCATCAAAATGTGTTTATATAATCAAATGATTTTCTTGTATTCCTGGCATCTGAAATTCAAGATGAAATGTAAATTGTTAACTGATACTTTCAGCATTTGTTTTTGGAGAACAAGGATTATTTAATGAAGAAAATAACGCAGGAAATTCAAGAAAGAACCTTCATTAATATTTCAACAAGCAAATAACTTGAAATTCTCTCTTATATACTCCGAATAACCTTCTAGTCTAAATGCGTCACGGTCATTTTACCTTCTTCCTAAAGTATATATAATTTTTTTTCACTTTATCATCTTTATCTACACACATCGTACATCATCATTTATCAATCTTATCAATGGCAATCATCGATTCTTTATATCAATTACATTCTTAAATATTTGGATAGCTGAAATATTTCTAGAGAATTTTTGGAAACTTGTTTCAATAAGAAACAATAAATGACTATCTTTTGGGGGTTGTTTTTATAGTGAAATTCTTTATGATGTGTACAAAATTGATTATTCTTTTGACTAATAATTTTAAATCATTAAATAAATGTAGCTAAATTACTTTCAATGTCAAAGTGCTTGGAATTATTTGAAAGTCTTTAGAAATGATGATATTTAGGAAGAAAAAATTATTTTATTCTTTTTATTGACTTCTTGATATGCAGATGATTTTTAAAATACTTACTATAAAGTTAATTAAAGACATAATCAAAGAAATTCAAGCTCAATTAAGCTGTCAATAATTTTTATTAAGATCCTCCCTCATCTTGATAAAAATATGAATATTAAAATGGATATGAATGTCTGGTAGAACATAAATAAGAGTAGTTACATATATGTATACATTTTGGATAGAAATGGATGATAGTATTGGAGACGATCTAGGCTTTGATACATTGCGCAAATCCCACATATATAGGAGAGTAGCCAGGCCCCTCGTTTCTTCATTTTTTTCCCTCCTTTTTTTTTGAAATACTGCGAACAGCCCGGGGTATGTTTGCTCAGCGCTCAACTTCCCTCGTGTGTGAATACTAATTAGCCGACTCGCAAAACTCTTGCCCCGGAATCGTGCATATTTTTTTCCGAAAAAAAATTCGCAACATGTGTGTGGTGATGGAATTGTTGCCAATATTGAGATTTTTTTATAATTTAAAAAATACCATCCGGTAATTATTTACCAATCAACTCACACTAACTTGGTTATTTTAATTATTTATATTTATTTTTAATAGTTCAAAATATTGATTACAATATTATTTATGAAACACTTTAATATATATTTTTCTAGCTTTTGACATGTTATAAAATCTTGAAATCTCTCAAATTGAATAATAAAATTGTTTTTAATCATTTGCAAAAATTATTATTCAACTATTACTTAATCAATATTATAAATAATTTTTTTGTCTAAATAAATAAGATAAATTAATAAAAAAAGGTACTTTAAAAAGTCAATGTAAATTTAATTACTTTAATAAAACCTCAAACTTGAGTTTGACAAAAATAAAATTGGCAGAAATTAAGCAAACCCACCATTGATAATAATCTTCAAAAGAACTATTCATTGGAAAAATTTATTCATGTCTACGACAATAATTCATGATTAAACATTACTTGAAAATAAAAAAGTGCCTACTCTTAGTGTTCAAAGGATTAAACCAAGTGATGAAGGAATCTGTCATTAAAGTCTACTACATACAGGAGAGATGATTAGAAAATAATCACTCTTGCAAACGGTTTGAGTTAACGAGCATATACGAATGACTAAGAGATTCCTATCTTGTTGGGCCAACTGTGGGCGGTAAACGTCAGCCTGCCGTGCGTATAAGTTGTTTATGGCTGTGATACCAAGCACACAGGAACTATAGGATCTAAAAGGAAAGAAAGAGAAAGAAGTTAAGAGAGAATTCCCTTAGGCTATAAATTCGTTCCTCTATCTCTTTCTCATGTCGTCTGGGTCTTGTTGTTGAGGGTGGTTCAGGCGGATTCATCGCCTTTTAGATTTTGCGCTATGCAGTTCTGGTGTCCTTGAAAAATTCCCGGAAGACTAAGGATCTATGATGTTTGATAAATGATCTTGAAAAAGGATCGAGGATCACTTGTTGTTGGTATTGGGAATTAAAAGGGTTTAAAGAATAAAACAAGCATATAATTAAATAATAATAAAATGTATTAAAAATCGTATACAATTTTGATTTCCGTACGGTAAAAAATTTTTATCGGTTTTCAACCGGTCATTTTTTCCAAGCTTCAGTTGTTGGTCATTAGCTAATTATTTTTATTCAAGATTAAAAATGTTTTGAAAATAAAAATAAATAAAATCAAATGGCGGAAGTTGGGAGAGTAGAGAGCGAGAGAGCTTTAAAATTAAATTAAATCATCATAACTTTCTTTTATTTTTGTTTCATCTTTATTATTAAACTTTGTTTTAAAAAAACAAAAAAAAAATGTTTTATCTTTTTTTGTCTTTTATTGATAATTATCGTGACAAAAAAACGGTTGTGGTTTACAAAGTTATGCGCATATAAAGCTATAGTTTTCTCCCTCGTCTCTTGACGTCGCGTCTTTCTATTCTCTCTTCCACCTCACGCTATCATATTTGACTCTCTCTCCTTTGTTGTTATTATGATTATTATTATTCATGGTCTTACTATTATTTTATCTTTCTCCGTCAGTAGAAAATTTCGTTTCTCCTTCAATTCTTCTGATATGTGAGACTAATCTCTGTGACTTTAATACGCGATACGTTATAGTAATTATTTAATTACATTTCTATTTAATTATTTTATTTACTCGTTTTTTATTTTTATTTCTTTATCAATAATCGTAATAATAATAATAATAATAATTTATTCACATAAACATAATGTTTATTATTTATTTGTGTTCATCTATTGTGTGTTTATCATTTGTTATGCTCATATTACTCATTTTGTTTTTACATTTTTGTTTGTTGTTTCATTCATTTGGCAAATGAGTCTAATGAGACTCTCAATTAAGTTTGCGTTGAGGCAGGTATCGGTTTTCGCTCATACATTGGATGGTTGTTAAGCAGAATAGTGCAATTATGATGAATTGTTTTATTATATGGTTTATTCTTTTTATTGCTTATTTGGATTTTTTTTTCTTTCCCCATTTGTCTGTTGATTTGCTTTTCTTTTATTTTCAATTTCATTTAAATATAATTATTGGAAAGTCTTTTTTGTAAAAACACACACACAATTTAGAATTGACTTTACACACTTTGTAGTTATATAAATCTTATTCTTACGAAAAAAAAATATTTCAAAAAAAAAATTGACTTACAAAATTGGTACTTCAATTAATACATTGTTTTATATAAGTTTCCAAAATGTTTAAATTCATTGTTATAAAAAATTGTATATGTTTTATCAAAGTGTTATTTAATCGTCTGAATTGTCGTATAAAAAAATCATTAATTATTTTCTTTTCACTGTTGTTTATGAACATGATCATTTGATAATTTTATAAGAGCTTTTTATAATAATTATTATTATTTAATTGAAGCTCTTCATGTTTACGTATGAATTATATTTAAAATTGCAATTTTAATAATCATTATTATGCTTTATTATAATAATATAAATAAATACTACTTAAATAATTGTAATAACAAAGAATTTTATTTATAAAAAAAAGATTGTTACATTGAAAGACTTTTTTTCTCGTAAGAATATTGAAAAATTCAATAGTCGTTCTGTTGTATTTAATAAACAGAATCGACTGTAGATAAAACTGTTGGCTTAACTTGACTTAAAAAGTATATTCTTATTTACTTGTTAATTGCATTTTGGTCTACACAACTACGTTGAATTGGCGGAGATCTGAATAAATGAAATGAAAACATATAATAGTCTTTGAGACACAACTACACATCTCACGCAAGATACACGGTACATATAGTAATACATTTTACTACGGTGCACGTGGCTCTCTCCTTTTCACCTCTCTGTTTTCTCTCCCACCCCCTTTCATCTCTAATTCATTACTTTGTCATTGATTTACATCTGGAGAAATGATTTTTCGCTCTCATCAGCAATATAGTACGTATTAATTAGGAGAGAATTACAATCAGTGATCAATCTCTATTATTTCTTTGTCCATTTATATTTTATTTTATTTTTTATCTTCAATATTTTTGACCTATTGTAAATATATATGAAACAGTGACCAGTGTTACCTCTTTTTTATTTTGTTTTTTTTTGTTTTTAAATTAATTATTATACTTAAATTCTATATTTTAATATTTTATAAATTTCACGGTAAAAAAAAACTGTTCTACAATATATAATAAAATATTTATCACCTCATTCATACAATTTTAGTCATTCATAAAAAATGCCAAATAATTATTTTCTTCTTTATTAAGATTTCTCCTTTTTGATTATTTTATTTTAATTTTCATATCTGTCGAGTATCGAACTGTTTTATTCTGTACATTTAATTTGTTATTTGTTTTTCTTTATGTTATTATTTTAATCTAACTCTTTATTTATTTACAACGAAACTATTATCTAAATAATAATTAATAATTATTAATATATTGTATTTACATTATAATAATTCTTTTGTTATCCTAAATACTATCCTATACATTCTTACATTTTTCTAATGTATCTCCTTCAACGTCTATCAAATATTTCTACAAATAACTTGTAGTAATAAATACACATATTATTATTAAAAATAAATAAATATAAAAATTATAATTTAATAGTACTTTTGACATGTTTATTATATAGGTTTTAATTAGTGACGATTTCTCATCACCTTTTTTAAATAGAAAAAAGAAATCTTTAGCTGCAAATTAACGTGAAAGAGATACATTGCAACGACTCTAATCAGTACTTATTCAGAAATGGCTAGTAGATAATTAGACAAGAGTGAGAATACATAATATTAAAGACGGACATGCACACTCGAGCTAGACAAGTAAGAGATAAAGGAGAAAAAGGAGAAACCTTAGCTGAAGAAAATATTTCTATTTTTTTTTCTTTTTTGTTTTAAAATCATTTTTTTCTTCACTTCACTTCTCTTCCTCTCACTCTCCCTCATGTACAAACATTCGTTTTCACAAATACACAAACTCACTAGCCAGAGACTGTCTGCGAAACGACGTGCAGTTCTGCTTTGCGTAGTCACGGACGGTGAACTTTCCCCGGCGTAATAAAATTAAAAATAAAAATAAAAAAACATTAAAAAATAAAAAATAAACATCACTGCTACATTGACTCGATAATTTAAACAGAGATTTAATTGATTCCCTGTTTATTTTTTTATTATATACGTATATGCGGCAAAAATTTATGGCAAAGTGTCCAATCACGGATCACAAACCCACCCTATGGTGTCAGTCATTGATTAGACATCAGTAGCTTGAGTGTAGGAAGGCGCAAGACCGTGGGCTGGAGTCAGAGGCCCAGTAGTTGATGCCAGGGACCTTCTAGAATAAATCGTGGCAGCGCTATGTGGCGTATGTGGTGCCGTATGTGCTGGCGTGTGCCTCCGCGAGGCGCTGGCGAAGGGCTAAATGGGTCCATAGTTGCTCAGGGCGGAAGGCCTCTCGTGTTGAAGTTGATTTTGAGGCTGTTCACAGCCGGCCGAATTCATGTCGCCTCCCGCCGACTGGTGACGTCATACGTGCGAAAGCGGGGGTTGCTTGAGAACATGGTGATGAAGATGATGTTGAGAAGCACTAGCAACACTCCCTGGTGGAAGTAAAGCACTTCCAGGACCTGATGGTGCATATCCTGGCATCATACCACGAGCTACACCTTTCATACTAGCACTACCAATCCCACTGACACCTGTCACTCCTGCCATTCCAGTATTTCCCGCTGCTACACCACCACCAAAGAGCCTTCGCCAAAGTCTTCGCCATGAATCCAAGGTTTTACCACTCCAAATCCAAACACCAGAGGTGATGCCCACTGCCAAAGCCATAAAGTATTTTAGCATGAGGATGGAATAGATGGGCTTTGATTGAATTTTACAAGGACAAGCTAGATGTGCAATCCATTCATCTCGTTGAGTTGATTCGTAGAGATAACATCCAAGGACAGCACTGGCAGGAACAGTATAGAGAACTGAGAATACTCCAATTCGAATCATGAGTTTCTCGAGTTTATCAGCCTTGGCACCAGGTTGTCTCTTAATGACACTCCGTATCCTGAAGAGACTAACGAAACCAGCAAGTAAAAAGCTGGTTCCAAGTAGCAGATAGACTAGAAGAGGAACGAGGATGAATTTTTGAACACCTTCTGGTGCAACAGTACAAACACCTGCAACTGGATCACCAGCAATACCTCCAACAAGTAAAGCCCAAACAGTTTGAGCAGTTGGTGCTAACCAAGCAGCAAGATGAAAGTATTGAGAGTAGGAGGCGATTGCTTCATTACCCCATTTCAATCCTGCAGCCAGGAACCAAGTGAAGGCAAGAATCACCCACCACACTGATGATGCCATACCGAAGAAGTAGATCATTAAAAAGACAGTGACACAAGTTCCTGGTCCTTGAGTTCCAGATCTCAATGCTGGTCCATCACAGGCGATTTCTTCATGACCCATAACACTTCTGGCCAAGTAACCCAAGGAAACGACAAAGTAGCAGGCTGATAAGAAGACAATAGGTCTTTCTGGGTATTTAAATCGTTGCGTGTCTATCAGGAATGTGATTACGGTGGTGAGAGTGCTTGCGGCGCACAGACCGCTCCAAAGAGTTACCCACACGGTTGCGAATCCTCTCTCCTCTGCCGACAGAAAGACCCCGTGACATGGAAGGGCGCAATTTTGAACCCCGGCAACCCCCTGACTCTGGCTGTCTCCGATTGATGGTGGCACTGGAACCCCGACGATGTGCATGCTTCCCAGAGCCCCGTGGCCGCTTGTGCCGGCGTTTGTGACCCCCAGGGGTACGAGGGGAGCTTTGCATCGGCACAAGCAATCCCTTGTCCTTTCCCCTGGGGGATGCTGACAGTTTTTTGAATTTTTTCCCTTACACCGGGCTGGTTGTGACGTCTTCGATGGTCTAGTAGGTCGTGGTGGACCTGCTGGTATAGGAGCACTGCTAGCTGGACCTGATCCTGAACCTCCACCACTATTTGTATGATTATCTTGTTCCATACATAAGTTTTCCGGGTCTCCATGGTTCGGTAAACGTTCACAGGCCATTCTCTCAGGCCAGGAGAATCCATATTGTTGCATCAATGGAGCACAACCGGCTCTGGCTCGTTCACAAACACTCCTACATGCCGGAAGTGGCTTGCTATATTCTGGTAGACAAATTGGTGTGTACATAGAGCAGAGAAAAAATTTAAGGTCTGGAGAGCACTTGATTTCCACCAACGGCCAAAATTGATGGACTTCTAGACCTGCTTCATCTTGCGTATCATGATTCAGCTCGTTTGGCATTGCAGTCAGGTTGTATCCAATTCCCCGACACATGGGAATGGTGATGTCCTCACATCTGCCATTTCCGTTAGAACTAGATGTCAGTACTGAGTGTCCACTGACACTTCCACTCAATCCATCACCTAGACTAGCACCTGGCTCGGGAATAACGCCAATTGCTGATGAAGATGAAGTGGACGATGATGATGATGAAGAAGACGAAGAAAGTGATGATGATGATGATGCAGAAGACGCCGATGATGAAGAACCACCCGGGAGTGGACCCACACTATTGGCAGGTCCTGTTGCGGATTCTGATCTGACATTCGGCACTGCTGTCACCGTGAGGACTAAGGGGAAGAGGATGAGTAGAATTTTTGGCATTCCACCACTTTGCGCAACGCGCGTCCGTCCCATTGCGTCCTCCGGATGATTTACACTCGCGTTGGCATCACTGCAGTCTGGAATAAAAATATCTTTTATTATTTTCTGCTTCCTTAATGCTCTCAAAAAAATCTTAAAACTAACAAAGTAGTCAAAACTATTTTCTAACAGGAATATTAAATAAAAAATGGCTATTTAATTAGAACAAGTGAATCAATTTTTTACAATTTTCAACTTTTCTTTTTACGTTGAATAAAAGAATCCTTTTTCTAAATATGCTGCTGTACTCTCGTTTATGAAAAGAGACAAGTGTAGATAGTGTTTTCATCATCGAGTACTCGTTATCTTGGTCGAGAGGCCGTTCTCGATTCTCTCTTCATTTTTACTTTTTATTCTCCTTTTTCTCCAGTCAGTCGTCTTGTTGACTTCAAGTGGACCGTTAGGATTGAGTGAAAAATATGCTTTGTCACATTTAAAACAAAAATCTGATGATTCATTAAAGAAACAACTACAAATGGATAAAAAGTCTGTTTGATTTGAAGGATCATGTAACTATATACATTTATATTAATATTTTTCTTGTTAATATTTTTTTTCGATTATTGATCAATACCACCCATGACGTCGCGATGCTTTTAAAGAAATGAAAATTAAACTCAGAGTATACATATATATATATATTAAAACCCTATAAATACCTCATGGTAACCGTGTTAGGGTGTTTAGTATAAGAGTTTAACAAACGGTAAAACTAACAAAACCAACCTCCTACAATAACATTTTGCTTCGGTCACGTGTGTTCCAGGCCTCTATTATAAGATCGTTTTTCAAAACTTTTTAAAAGTATTGCTACTGGAACATTGTTTTAATAATGATCAAAATATATTGAATTGATGTTTATAAGTTGCTGATTTTAAAAAGAAAAGATAATTTATTTATGGTGGACAAAATAATTATCATTGGCTTTAATATATAACAAAAAACAATTAAAAAAAATGTGTTTTATATTTTTGAACAGCTGGTAATGTTCCAAGAACTAATTTAATATTAATTTTATTCGGTAAAAATTATTGTTTAGTAGGTAAAGAAAAAGGAAAGTTGTTTAAATAATTTTGAAATTTATTAATATTATATGAGTTATCGATTTTGATGAAGATTGCATAATATAGTTAACATTTAGGCCTACAAATTTCTCAACACATTTACAAAAGAACCGAGGAGTCTTTATCCAGATAATAACACACTTAAATCATGTCCAATTTTGTTTTAATTAATTTCAGGTTGTCTTTTAAATGAATCTTTAATTCCATCCCACTACAATGGTGGCAAAAATAAATTCGATATGATAAAGAATGATATTAATTTACATCTGAATCTATGATTTTCTGATTCATTTTATCTACAAATTAACATAGAAAAAAATTGATTTATTTTTCATCTGGGAGTTAAGCTAAAATTCTTTTCCATCCAATAATGTAGGTAAGAAACTCATACGTATTTTTTCCACGACTTTTGCTATATACTGGGCAGGAAGCTACAGCAATATTTCTTGAATGGACTGTAGCCATGCGAGCATGATTTACATACAAGAAGTGTATATCATAACCCAAACAACGGTCTGCGTATCCGTGGCAGGCAGGCTTCTAAAACTGATTCATTGCCAGGAGTGTTCGCTATTCTCTTTTGCTTCTTTTTTATTTTACCCTCTTTCTTCTTCGCCATATCTTTGTCTCTTTTACCTTCGTATCCTTCTCATCCACCTCCACACAACCATCAGAAAGAATCCTTCAACTAATGGGAAATTATTGCACAACTGAAATACTTGTTAAATGTCACGTCAACGAAGCACGAAAAATAATGGCAGCGTGCGAATTTTTTTAAGTGAATTTTTTTTCACGATAATTCGCATTGGTTTCATGCTGAGTTGACTAGAGTGGCTCTTGCATGAGTCACGTGCAGTTTGTCGATAGTTAAGAAAAATGGCCAAGTTGAGAGAGCATGGAACGTTGACGTAAAAAAGATTAAAAGCCAATGATGAATATATAACACGAGGATTAAATTTTTTTTTAGGAAGAAGTAATAATGGAATAGAAATAGGTAGATTTAATGAACCGTTATTTTTGATAGTTTATGGTAGCACATTTATTATGCTAATAATTTTTGAGCCTCAGTTATTAGCCTAGTAAATGCTAGAATCATGTTAAAAATTCATTCAAGTTTGAAATTTAATGTTGCTGAGTGAAAATAATTTTGTTTAATTTTTAAATACATATTTTTTAACCTATAAAATAATAGGTACATTGAAAAAAAGAATTATTCATAAATAAAAAATATTTGAAACAATTAACAATGTTTTATAATAATAAACAAACGTTATTTGAATCAAATAAAAAATGATTAATTATAAATAATTTCCATTCAATCGACAATTGTTTAGATAATAATATATTATGTGTGAGTCTATTTTAGTACACTATTTCTTGCACTTATTTTTAATTCTTCAGTTATATATTTAGAGCTACATTTCTTCTTAGTAGGGATAAGTTGAGAAGAAATGTGAGACTAAAATATTTGGTAAATTTTCTACAATAATTATTATTCTAAAAATAAGAGGATTTTCTGATATTAGTTATTTATATTTTCAAAGTAAAGTTATTGTTATTAATTAAATACTAACAAGTCATATGCTCTAAATAGAAAATTCTCAAGTTTTAACAAATGTTAGAGTTCAAACTACTTTTAACAATTCATCATCTATTGTTTATATTTTATTATAAATAACTGTAATCCTTGAGTCAAATATTTGTCTTATGAGCTTTTCTATTCTCATGTAAGCTTAAGAATAAATGTAAACAATGAACATTAGGTAAGCTTTTCAACATTTAAAATACTCTAAAGAACTTTTAATAGATTATTTTTTCAGTTTATTCAAATAGATATCGTTTGCTGGAGATTATAAATATTTTATTGTTGAATAATCTCTTAAATATTTATGCAGTATTTTTTTTTTATATGTTCATGAGTTAAAGATATTTTATAACGATTAATAGTATAGTTATCTAAACATGAAATAATACAGCTTTCGACCATTTTGTTTACAAAATATTCAAATTCTCTGATACTATTGATTTTAGTGTTTAACATTAATTTGAATTTATTTTTTTATATCTAATAACGTTAGACTGATCAAATTGATTAAAAAATCAATTCTATTTTTTTTTTTAAATCGCGATCCTTCATTTTATACTTAAAAGTTTATTTTCAAATAATAATAGACTATCTTTAATACTAAATTTGAATAAAACAAATGCTAATGTGAAAGTCTGTAAAAATTTCCATAATTGATCGCATAAATGGAAAATAAATCATTTTTCCATGGAGGTGGTATTAGAGACGGACGTAAGGGTGATAATAAATTGTTCCGGTTATGGAGACAGTGTGTTATGCACTTATTCAGCTTGCACAATCACACTAGCAACAACTTTATTTCCCCTAGAGGAATAAAATTTATGAGTAGACATTGGTACTTAAATGTCTCTAATTATTTCTTCAGGATAAATACATCTGTAAAGAGAGTTGAAAGCCGGCTTATTTTCAATTCGATGAAAGGTACAAGCAATGTATAATATGCTGTAAAAAAATATAAGTCGCGTGCGTGGGTTCATTTTTCATTGCATAGGCAGTTAGATATATACTTATATACACGAGCAATGGATGAGATGGAAGTTATAAAAATAAAAGAAAGTGTATAAAAGAGATAAAAAAAATATAAAAAACAAGTATCGCGTGAGTAAACGGCACTCGGGCATATAACTCTTGACTCTTTAGTGCTCCCGGACACACGTCCCTTGCTAGTGTGTCCTCGTCGTTGACTCCTCAGGGTAAAAATTGTCCCAAGCCTCTCTCAGTAGATATTTTATCTACCAACTCATGTCTACATCCCCGCGAATCTTTCTACATTGGCCCAGTGGCTCTCATCCTCCTCTGCGAAAAAATCCTTTCAAGATTTAACCTACTCCTTAACGAGACATAACTACCACTCATCATAAAACAGTCTTTGTTATTAATTCATTTTGACAGGTATTTTTTTTGTTTAATCATTTCCTTCTTTGAAACAGATGGAATATATTGTTTTAATAAATTTCTGAATAAGGTAAAAGCATCAATACTTTAAATTTTATAGAAAGTATGATGTTTAAACAGTTATAAAAATTAATTTTCCTTTTTTTATTCAATTATATTTAGAGTAGAAATTTTTATGGAGTCCTAATCAGGCAGTGAAATTATCATTCGAATTTCAATGGTCTTCAAACATACCTAACAAAAATTTATAATTGGGATAATAAAGTTTTCATTAATTAATTTTTACGTTTCATATTCAGTGTGATAAAGGTTCATATTCTCTTGAATTAAATCAGTAAAAAATTCCTGGCAATCAATGAATATTCATTTATTTATAGAAGAATTTCCTTAGAGAGTGTTTTGTATTTTCTAGTATTGAGCATTGATATTTTTTCTAAGTTTAATGTTAACAAATAAATAAGCTATTTTATGATTCTGTAAAACGAAAGGTCCAACTGAATGAAATGATACAGTTAAGTTAGTATCATTGTTTTATCGTAGATAAAAAGCAAGTTGACTATAATCAGGATCCGGTTGCAGAGAGAAACAAGAGAGTCGAGCACCTAGAGAATAAATCAACTTAGGTATTACGTTAGGCAAACTGAAGTTTGCTAATTGGCCAAGCAGCAACGGATCTCGAATGGCAAATAAATTCGAAGCTTCTTCCCTGCCTCGTACATTTTTCGCATAAATTATCTCTTCTTTTTTTCCTCCCTACTCCTGAGACTCATCTTCACGTTGTCGTTTCTCTATACATACAACGAACTAAAAAATATTTACGTCTGACGAGGTGGAGGTGAAGTAGGAGTCTTCTCCGATGTCCCGTGGAGTTCTCTTAAATAAACTACAGGTAGGCGCGATATCCTCGTGATGTTCCAGTCACGACCTGAGACAGCGGTTGTCCTCCATCCTACCTCTTTCACTCTTTCTCTCTTTCTTCTACCTCTTTTGCTTC